GGGTGCTGCAAGCAGCTTCATCGGACCAAAACCTGTCATTGGCAAAGCTTTAGACATGGCCAAACAACGATTGAACATCTGGATGGCAAGAAGATTCATGGATTGTTTGAAGGTGATTGACAATGTTTCGTGATGAGTTTCACTAGTTCGGACTTCCATTGTCTACTATATAAAATGATTTGAAATCCCTGAAACAGTCATCACCCGAAGACGATTGTAGATACCAACAATCGAAACGTCGTGAACTAACGTGACTTGGAATCTCTACACTTTTTATTTTTTCATTAGTTTCTTTTTTCATTCCTTTAATTTTTATTTATTCAATTATTATATTTTTACTTGTAGGTTATTTCACTATCATTTCATTTCAGGTTTATTGTTGCTTAATATAATTGTTATTTTCAACTATTCTTTTTTAATTATTCTCTTTTACTTGTTTCAGGGATTTCAAATCATTTTATATAGTAGACAATGGAAGTCCGAACTAGTGAAACTCAAAAAGATTCATGGACTTCTGGCAAAATCCCGAGGATTGACTCACTCCAAGGCGTTTATTCACCCTTCAAAGCTTGATACCAAACTGTTGTTAGAGTACAGTAGGGAATGAACTACGATGTTTTTGGATAGCCCATGAATGATTATGTATTCAAAAAACACACTCTGATGTGAGACTTCCACTTCCACAGTTCTGTAATATCCTTGAATGTTTGTTTGGCAAAAATAATATCAAGGATGCGATTTAGGACCATCAAAAAATCAGAACATTTTCCCTTTCTCCCATAGTTCAAATAGGGGTAGTCTATTCTATCTTGACTTCTGAGGGATGTAACCCGCCTAGACTTTCATCCTAGTTACGCCAATGCTCAAAAAGATTCCGAGAACAGGTTTGGCAGTAAATTTCAGCTGTAAGACCAACCAAAGTCTGTCAGATTCCGATTCAACATAAACGATCTGTATATAAACATCACTTGTTTTGAGAATGGATTTCATCTTACCATACTTTGGTCACAATATGACGATAGGTTTTGCGTCTAACCACTCTCCAACTAGTTCAGTGATAATATTTTTTTACCAGTGTGAGGTTTTCATTCTTCTGAAATATAATTGATGAATTTTGTGATATTAAAATAATTCTCCACTTGGATTTTTGTGCGAGACCTTCTCGAAGGAGTTGACCATCACTTAATACGTGCATAGACAATTGAACGAATTTTACGCAGAGAGTAACTAATTCCTCCCTTACCATAAACAGCATATAATTCCCTTCAACGACAAGACTTAGTTAGAAAGAGTAATATTCTGTAGAGAAATGCTTAGAAAAATCATTCTTTTCAATTTGTTTTGAGGCGTACATAAATATTCAACATGCATTGTTGGTTAGTACAAAACCGATATCAATAAGAAATTTTATTTGATGCTGCATGCTGTGCATTAAAACTAATCTTCATTTTTTTGGAAATATTGTTCCTAACTTGCATTATATATTTTTCTGTGTTTTGGATGATTTCCGAGTTTTACCATGGTCTTCTTTGGTTACAATCTCCAAACGTTTCAACTACAACTGCAGCAGTCGTCTTCAGTGGCGTGGCCGTTGATACGTCAAGAAGAGTAGGTACTTCGACCACGCCACTGAAGATGACTTCCGCAGTTGTAGTTGAAACATACATACCGTTTTGATATAATGCACCACTACATTATGATGTTATTGAGCGATTTTAGACCCATTTTTCTCTACGAATACAAAGTGAACCAATACACTGCCGAAACATCCCGAAAAATAACCAGCCATTTGGCAATGATAGTGTTCAAAGTTGGTTTGTGAAATTTCGTTCCGAAGATTTTATTCTTGAAGATGATCCTCGAAGTGGTCGACCTACATTAATCCAGGACGAGCATTTGAGGACCCTGAAAATGTTCAGCACAGTGGTTGGACACCGATGAGCCATCCAGGCACCTCCCAAAGGTGAAAACACACCAAAAATAAACCATGGTTAAGTTAGGTTAGGTTGGGTCCAAAGTGAGTGGGTCTATTGGATCCTCCACCGCAACCCCCAAAGGTTTATTGTGGCTCACACATATACACACTCGGTCAAATAAACCCAGCTTCTTAACGAAGCCGATTAGTTTGTATGGTGAGTGATATTTCAGGTCAGATGGTGAGAGTACGGATCTGCCGAACTCTATAAACCTGATTCGTTCCCCAGCGGGACAGGCACAAATATGTGCTCTGCTGTTTCACCATTTTCCAAATAGAGGCGACACAATCTGTCTTTCGACAGTCCTAGTATCTGCATATGATGATTCAAATGACAGTGACCTGTTAAAAGGCCTGGTAGACATCGTAGTTCATCTCTACTGTAGTCCAACAAATGTTTGGTATCATTGTTATCAAGCTTCGAATGGTGAATGAACGCCTTGGAGTGAGCCAGTCCTGGAATATTCTCCCAGAAGTCCATGAATCTTCTTGCCATCCAGGTGTTCAATCTTTGTTTGGCAAAGCCTAAAGCGATGCCAATGACAGGTTCTGGTCCGATGAAGCTTCTTAGTTACAGCGGCTGTGAAATCCTAAGCTTAGTTTCACATAAGTCACCACTTTGGTGCTCAACCCATAACCTATTTTTTATAAAAACATTTATAGTAGTAATCTAGAGTTGTTTCATTCAATCAATTTTTGGTATATCTCCGCAGTGATGAGAGTTGGGATCATTATAAATTGTTTTTAAGAGTGTAGGTATTGTTATATCGATTTGGCACTATTCAGTGAATGTGAACCGTATTTTACATCATATGTAACTCAATTGAACTACTTTTTCCCAGATTGTGATGGTGATTAAATTGTGACTGAGAAGGTTAGCGACGTGTTTTGGTGTTCCTAGCACAAGTATAAACGCCCTGAGAGAAAGACTCTTGCCAACCGACTACCATCTTTTCAAGCACTTCGATAACTTTCTCACCGGTAGAACCTTCGCCAATCAGTACCAGGCAGAAACGGTCTTCGCCAACTTCGTCGAACCCCAGTACCCAATTTTTATGCTGACGTAATCAATCGACTTGCATTACGTTAACAGAAGTGCATTGACTCAAAAGGCGCTCATATCGAATAAACTGAATAAATATTCAATGCGATATTACAGTTTAAAGTAGACTCATAAAAACGGATGAAACTTTTGAAACAACCCAATATTACCAATCTTCAAAGAACAGTAATTTGTAAAAATTAAACAAGCTCTGATATTTTCTGGAAACTGTAACATTTTCACAAGCATACTGCAAATGAGGAACCGACAATTCTGCTTCTTGGGTTTTTCACAAAAGATTTTTGTCACAAAAACAAGGTTTTTTTGTGAAAATCATAAAAATGAACTCTAATCAGAAATAAACTCCTTTATCACCTCCTTCAGTTTTATGGCATATGAGTCACCCTGTACACTCCACTTTCCTGAGGTTGGCTCCCAATTACCCATCGTTGTTATGGACGAAATGTTCGGAGTTAATCTCTCCATTGGACCACGGCTACCCAGTACGAATAACCAAAGTTCGCATTTGACCTTTTGCTTTTGCTATTGAAATGGTGTTTACCTTTGTGGATTTCGATGTCTTTTCTTCATAGGCTGGTATGATGTGCAGATTTTGATAAAACTAAGGTGTTCATCCGCCCATGCCGAGGAACTCGGCTATGGACGTTGCTATGGACGAAATGTTCGGAGTGAATCTCTCCATTAGACCTCGGCTACCCAGTCCGAATAGGCAAAGTTCGCATTTCACCTTTTGCTTTTGCTATTGAAATGGTGTTTGCCTTTGTGGATTTAGATGGCTTTCCTTCATAGGCTGATATGATGTGCAGATTTTGATAAAACTAAGGTGTTCATCCGGTACCGCCATAGTTGAGAAACTCGGCTATGGACGTTGCTATGGACAAAATGTTCGGAGTTAATCTCTCCGTTGGACCACGGCTACCCAGTCCGAATAAGCAAAGTTCACATTTGACCTTTTTCGGTACCGCCATAGCCGAGAAACTCGGCTATGGACGTTGCTATGGACGAAATGTTCGGAGTTAATCTCTCCGTTGGACCACGGCTACCCAGTCCGAATAAGCAAAGTTCGCATTTCACCTTTTGCTTTTGCTATTGAAATGGTGTTTGCCTCTGTGGACTTCGATGGCTTTCTTTCATGGGCAGGTATGATGTGCATATTTTGATAAAACTAAGGTGTACATCCGATACCGCCATTGCCAAGGAACTCGGCTATGGACGTTGCTATGGACGAAATGTTCGGAGTGAATCTCTCCATTAGACCACGGCTACCCAGTCCGAATACGCAAAGTTCGCATTTGACCTTTTGCTTTTGCTATTGAAATGGTGTTTGCCTTTGTGGATTTAGATGGCTTTCCTTCATAGGCTGATATGATGTGCAGATTTTGATAAAACTGAAGTGTTCATCCGGTACCGCCATAGCCGAGAAACTCGGCTATGGACGTTGTTATGGACGAAATGTTCGGAGTTAATCTCTCCATTGGACCATGTCTACCCAGTCCCAATAAGGAAAGTTCGCATTTGACCTTTTGCTATTGAAATGGTGTTTGCCTTTGTGGATTTAGATGGCTTTCCTTCATAGGCTGGTATGATGTGCAGATTTTGATAAAACTGAAGTGTTCATCCGGTACCGCCATAGCCGAGAAACTCGGCTATGGACGTTGTTATGGACGAAATTTTCGGAGTTAATCTCTCCATTAGACCACAGCTACCCAGTCCCAATAGAAAAAATCCCGAAAACTCCAGAAAAACGATGAATACAATGAAATCTGGTCGTGACCGCTTTACTCAGTTTAAACATTTTGACAGTCAAGTCTGCAGACGATAACATATTTATGAAAAAATACACACCACTTGAACATATTTTTCTGTGTGAAAGTTTTATTTAAAACGTGAAACTCTTCTTCAAAAGAGAAAATTGAAATAGTATTTCATATAACTTAAAATATTTGAACTGCCACTAGCTTTATCATTGAAATCAAAACAACTTCCACTATTTCAGGCTTACATGAACTACAAGAGAAAGAGCACTGTCGGATGGAGCATAGGCAACATATTTTTAGATTTCACAGGAGGCGCTTTAAGCATGTTGCAAATGATTGTTGACGCTTACAATTACGGTAAACCCTGTTATATTTTTTGATATGTGTTCACTTCACTGCTATTTATTTTTTCAGATGACTGGGTATCGATTTTTGGAGACCCAACCAAATTTGGACTTGGTTTGTTTTCTGTTGTATTCGATATCTTTTTCATTGTTCAACATTATATACTGTACAGGCATTCGAATTACGCAGAAAACTAATTGTTTTAATTTTTTTCAGTATTTATTTTTATATTTTTAACTTGTTCACTATTAAATGAATTTTTTTCTTATATACAGTTTATTCTCAGTTTGATTTTTACAATATGTCCTCCCACTTTTATTTTTTGAACGGCTCAACTCAAAAAATGGAAATTTGGGATAATGAAATTGATGCATGAATACTTCATTTTGAAATGAAATTCACAGATGAAACTCATAAGATGGCGACTGGGCGCCATCTGGAATAAAAAATTAAATGGAAAAGAAGGTCTTGTGACACAGCATTTTGAAGCTTCTGACGAATACTTCACAACCCTAGAATATGAAGTTAATATCTTCACCTACTACAAAATGGCGGAACATTCAATAATTTCCTGAAGACAAACACATCAATATCGATATTTCTACAAATATTTCTTTTTATCTAATTCGTGTGATTGATGACTTGTTTACTTTATGGTAATTCATGATCACTCAAATGAAATGAATAAAAAGCACTTTTGTCTAAATACCATGTTGGATTTTATTTATACGACCGGTTTCGGGTTTGACCCCATTATCAAGTATAAAACTGAAATCCGAAGTTTGAAATGTCTTTTATATTAGACTTTCCAGGTATGCTGCAAGGACAGGTATTTGAGAAACAGATAGTTGGGCGAACCAAGATGCCAACTTTTAAAATTCCACGCTGAAAATTCTAGGGGATATTAAACTCATAAATTCAAGAGAGGAGACCTACATGAATCGAGTTGCTCGTTTAGGGGTATATGTTTCTGGTTTTTAATTGATTTGTTGATTTCCATGGCCTCCAACAAATTCATTTTTCTCCCTTTATTACATATGTGTAGGACTTTGAGGTTATCTTCATTTATCTTGTGGTTTGATTCTTGAAGATGTTCGTACATTGCAGATTTTTTGTCAAAATGTCAAAATTTTCACCGGTTTGGCCTGTATATACTGCAGAGCATTCGCCACACTCTATTCTATATAGTATACCTGATATTTTCATTCTATCCCGTTTGGGTTTTGCATTAAACAGGGTTCTACCTAAATTATTATCACTTATGAAAGCTGTTGATATGTTGTATTTAGAGAAATGATTTTGAATATTTTGTGAACAGTAGCATCAATTACTCAGGTACACCAATACTCAAGATGACCCTAATCGAAGAAGAGAATTCTGCAAAATCATGACGGAAACCATTGCAAGGCATCTTACCTATCTCCACAATATTTGTTTTAGTGACGAAAGTACATTTTTGTTTAAACGGCAATGTTCACTGACAAAATTGCCTTTATTGGAGTGACACTAACCCTCACGATTTCCGGGAAACGCATACCCAATATCCAGAAAAAATTAGCGTTTGAGCAGGAATATTGCGGGAAGCCATATTGTAGGACCTCTGTTTATTGATCAAAATTTAACAGGGGAACTGTATTTGAATATGCTGGAAACTACCTACTGTTGACCCTCTCATCACTGAAATCGTCGAAGCGAATCCTAATGAATTCGATATGGATATGGTATTCCAACAAGATGGAGCACCACCACATTACTCCGACAAGTAAGAAACTATTTGGATACTACTTTTCCCAGTCGTTGGTTTGGTCGTCGAGGTCCTACAGAATGGCCAGCCCGCTCGCCAGATTTGACACCTCTGGGCTTTTTTTATGGGACTATTTGGAGCAAAAGGTGTACGAAACTGAACCTGCTTCGATATTGAATATACGGCAGAGAATAATAAATATTTCACGATACTGTGTTCGAAAAATGTTCGGCGTGAAATATCGGATAGGCTGTTTAACCAACTGCGACCCACTGACGTTCAGTGTTTGCCAAATTCAACTTTTTTTTTTTAAATTGAAAAAGTGCATTTCTAGATCGAATTTAACAAAAAGTTACTTGAAGAGTTGTGTCTACGGCAATTTTATATCCATATGCCAAGTTTTATGCAACTATAGTTGGGCGAACCAAGATGCCAACTTTTAAAATTCCACGCTGAAAATTCTAGGGGATATTAAACTCATAAATTCAAGAGAGGAGACCTACATAAATCGAATTGCTCGTTTAGGGGTATATGTTTCTGGTTTTTAATTGATTTGTTAATTTCCATGGCCTCCAACAAATTCATTTTTCTCCCTTTATTACATATGTGTAGGACTTTGAGGTTATCTTCATTTATCTTGTGGTTTGATTCTAGAAGATGTTCGTACATTGCTGATTTTTTGTCCAAAAAGACATGTTCACGCAGTCTTATGTCAAAATTTCTACCGGTTTGGCCTGTATATACTGCAGAGCATTCGCCACACTCTAAATTCTATATATACCTGATATTTTCATTCTATTGCATTGATATTATTATTACTTGTGAAAGCTGTTGATATGGATTACTGGTAAAAGCCATGTGGTTGAAGAACAAAGAGAGAGTGACAACAAACAATTGGCAATGACAGCTGTCATGTGATTCAGTTTGAAAAGGTGTGTTTGTTTGTCTAAGTTAAAAGTGTGGATCAAAAGAGAACTGTTATGGTGCTAGTGTGATCAGAGACATCTGTTGTTATATAAATAAATCAATCAGAAAACCCAATATCAAATATGCCCAATTTAAAATTAATTAATTGACAATACTCTTATCAGTTTTTAGGAGAACAAGTGAAGAATTGTTATAATTTGAAAATAAAACCCTGCCATAGGGAGGTTGGAACTTTGTTCAAAAATATTTAAAATATTATGAATTATGAATTATATTAATGAAAATCCAGAATTATTTCTGGTTTGAAAATCATCAAATTTTTACTCTACTACTCAACAAGAGTTTGAGCAGCATCGTCATAGAAAAATAAAAATTGTACAGTAATAAAAGGTGTTTTCTGGCGTTTAATCGTATTCGAGCGTGTATTCAAAAACAATTCATAATGACGTAGTTATTAATAAGATTCGCCAGAATGGAGTGATTCAATTTGTGTCAGATGTCAAATCAATAATGAAAAAAACAAACTTTTCAATTTTCTCTAACCCTAATTAGAATCGGATTTGTGCTTCATTTTATACATCCTTACAACATATTTGATAAAAAAATTCAGCACTTTATAAACTATAACGATCAAAATAAAGCAGAAACTGACGTATCATAACGTCAAATTCTGTATATAATACCATCAGTAGCTAAAACAATCCTGGAATTTCATATTAAATCCAAGATTATTTTTAAAGTCAGAGGCCATATATTTAGGACTCAAATTGGCAGCAAAATTTAGTGGTGATGCATTTGATGATTTGGTAAAATCTGAATTCAGAAAAAGATGTCTGGAGTTTTATTTGGAATGGATTAGTCAAATCATGAAACGTTTTTCTTTTAATTCAGATTTTGCGCGAGCTATAAAGTTTATCGATTTTTTGCATCCTCCAAATATAGCTAATAATATTACACCAGGACCAATAATTATGTCAAATATTTTGATATAAATGCTTTATATCATGAATGGAGATTATTCAGAAACAGTGATATTTTTGTTAAAATGTAAAAGAAGTTGATATGCTGAAATGTTGGCAGGATGTAAATAAATAAAGTGAGAAAAGAGTGATGGCACACAAGCGTATTCCAATTAAATGGAATTACTTGCTTTCTTATTTACCTTACCACACAGCAGTGCTTGTGTCGAAAGAATCTTCAGTTAGGTATTTCTTTAGAATAAATAAAACAAAAATCAGGAATCGACTGAATTCTGATACCCTCAGTGAAATTCTTTACTCTGAAAGAGTTATATCAAACAGCGAGAAATACTGTTACAACTTTGAAATTTCTGAATTGTTACCTATTCTGTGATAGTATGCTAAAGAAATGTGGTCATAATATGTACGAATCAAAATAGTAGGTAGTTGATGATGAAAATATACTTGACCATTGTTTTTTCTGTTCCAAACTTTGTATTTAGTTTTGGTCACAATTTCCTATTCATTTTTTGTTAAATAGGCAGAATTTCTGAAATCTGGTGATATTTTTTCAAATCTGGTGATTTTTGCTTCATAGATTTGGTGATTTTAAATTTTGCCCGCCGGCAACACCGCTGCTTTGTGGCTAGTTGCAGGCTGCGGGTTTGCAAGTATACATCAAAGAATACATAGGTGTACTTTTTGGTATACATAGAGAAAACATATATATTTACTTTATTTAGTTAGTGATTATTAATGTAAAGAACGAGGTTTTCCTAACCTCTAATCAATAAGTTATAAAAAATGGAAGAAAACGATAAGATGAATGATTTGTCAGAAATAGAGAAATTGAATGAAATAAGAAGTGAGGCTTTGCAGGCCCAATTTTCTGTTGAAGATGAAAATAAAACAAAATTGGAAATTCCTAGTAGCAGTTCTCCAGATACAGACCAAATTGAAAACGATGTGAAAGACTTTGATGAACAAGAAAATGACTGTGATAAACAATCTCCATCCAGTCTAAGTGACTCACAAGATGATGACTATGTTGATGAAGAACATCTGAAAGATCTAGAAGTGACTCTAACTGATGATGTTAAAGAAAAAAGATACAGTGAAGCTTTAGAACTGAAAAAAAGAGGTAACGAGGAATTCAAAGACCAAAAGTACTTGAAATCTGTGTTCACTTACACAGAAGCTCTTCGGTTGTGTCCGTTGAAATACACAAGTGATAGATCTATATTTTACGCAAATCGGGCAGCTTCCAAAGGTGCCATGGGTAGGAAAGAAAGTGCTATAGAAGATTGCACAAAAGCTATTGAATTAAATGACAAATATGTTCGAGCATACTTGAGACGTGCTAGGTTATATGAAGAAACTGATAAACTTGATGAAAGTTTATCGGATTACAGGAAGATTCTTGAAATTGATAAAGGAAATAAAGATGCTTTGCAAGCACAATATCGATTACCACCACTTATTCAACAGAAAAATGAAAAACTAAAAGAAGAAGTGTTAGGTTTGTATCTTATATTTTTTCAAATGATCTGTTTTTAAGTCAGCATTATCATTTTTCAGGGAAACTAAAAGATTTGGGAAATATGATACTGAAGCCTTTTGGTTTGTCTACTGCAAATTTTCAAATGAATAAAGATCCCAACAGTGGAGGATATTCTATGAACTTCACTCAGAACAGGGAATAATTCATTTCTTGTTTCACTTATATAAAGCTATGTAAAATAATGAAGGAGTTATTACAGATCTTGGAAGCTTGATCAATAAAAAGTTTTCAGTTACCAAACAGATACTTTATTCAAAAATATTTAACCAACGAAATTACATTTCAGTTGTACTCTTACTTGTAACCATTAGAAGTATTTATGTGATTCCAGCATGATCAAGGATAAGGCACTGAAGTTCTTCCAAAGTATGGAAAATCTTACCACTTATGCTATCGCCTAATATCAGAGAAAACAAATTCCACTAAAAGTCAGGATTACTGGGATTCCAACTCTTAAATAGAGTATTTGGAAGCTACTGTTCAATGTTGAACTGGTAAAAATTAATGTGTACAATTCAGGAAAGTTATTCAATAATAGATTTATTGGTGTTGAATTTCAGTCGACTAGGGCTTCAGCCCTTCACTTTTTAAAATATCAAGAAAAAAAATCCTGAATCACTTCCAGCCACAGCTATTAGAGAATAGTCTAGTTCCGTTTACTTTTCAAATCATCATTGCCTGAAAGTAATGATTACTGAAAGTAATGATTAAGTTCTCAGTTCCCATCAAACTTCGTGAAAATTTTATTCAGAATATGAATTTTTGTTTCGACTCATTACAATTGATATTGTTGATTTTTTTTCAAACATCTACTACCCAAATCACTTAAGACGTTAATTAATTTAATCTCATCTCTAAAATCTGATGAGTCCTCATGCATACTAAATTTCATCTCATCTAGAAAACCTGCCTATTACATTTTTCATGAGACTAGGAAGTTTATCTTCACTGGAGGTTTCAGTTACACATATTATTTGAGAAGTAATTAGAGATACGTTTCTTGCAGTAAGATAAATATTATAATTGAAGGATTTTCTCAAGGTCCCAACATGATGGTGGCAAATTCCTTAATTTTCGTTAAAATTAACTTCCTAAAAAAGTGTAGGGTTTGGGGGGTAAGAGATCTTGAATAATAATTGATCTCTCAAAAACAAAACCCATCAAATAAGTGAATGAATGACATTATATACTGTCATCGATGACATGAGTAGATTCAACTCATGACATAAAAGCCATAATTTTATGAATGAAATGAGTGCTTTATCTTGTAATGCCATTTAGATGCCATCCAAAACATTGGATGTCTACCAGTGAGGATCACAGTGTTCAGTGTAAGTACAATTCTACCTCTTACATATATAATATTGTGTAACAATCCTGTGCATAGTATCCGATTCAATTACATAATGATGTTTGGAGTACAAACTTTATAGTTGAAACTATTTGTTGTATAATTCAAAGTTCATATAAAAGTAGTTTTTTCGAAAGTATTTTTTTTTTCTTGTAATTCAATGTTTATATGAAAGTACTTGTTATTGAGAGGGCTTTTTTTCCAGATTCTGTCTGAAAGTTACTTCTTTGTATGATCTACACATCTTTGTAGGGTGTATTTTGAAATTAATTGCTTTCTTCCTTTTTGGAAGATTCCCACATTTTTTTGTATAAAGATTGAGAAGTAGACAGAAGTAGACCTTTCTTTCACAAAAATTAATCACTCCTGAAAATATACCCCTTTTAATTTTAAGAAGGCTCCTATGGCTGGGAATAAATCAAATTAGCGAATGAATATCATTATGTACTATGCTGATTGTAATAACCAGTAAAGACTACGTATCCTAGTTTTTTTTCAAGAGTAGAAAAGTTCATTTTACTTCAGAAATTCAAACGATGAGCTCGCGCCTCGTGAGATTTAATGACGTCAGAGAAACATAACATTAGTGTTTCTAGTTAACTTGGGTCTGTTGAATCCAAAAATGCCACCAGATTTGCTCCATCAGATCGTTTTCAGACAACAAATCACATATCTAACATATAGGGTAATTTAACGCAGCACTACCTACATATATGTAGTGCTACTACCCATCAAATAAACGAAACACGAATAAAAAGTAAGATATTCATTGTACAACAATATACTTACAAAAATCATTATACATATCAGCCAAAAAACTTAGCTTTTCATGTAACCTAACCAGCATCGCAGTACAAATCTGTTATTCTATTAATATTGACTGAAATATGTCAGAATTAGTTGTCCATTCCGCTTCTGACAAAATAATTAGGTTAGGATGGATACACTTCAATGTACAGCACGCGCCAAACTTGATGGCGAGCCGGCCCCCATGACAAACTCATTTTCAATATAACCCCCACTACAGCTCTTGTAAGACACACAAATGCTCTTACAGAGGCGTATCATTACTTGTCCTCCAATGCTGTTTGCATTCTCTGAATAATTTATGTTGTTTCTGAAAAAATGTTATTTCCTAACAAAAAACCAGTCAGATAAATTTATTAAGGCTTTTCGCGGCCAATATTTTCAGTGTGTATCATTTTATAACATTGTAATGAACTGTACTAATACCTATAATCACATAGTAATAATTAATAATACATATTATAAATGCGAATGTGACTTTGTTTATTAAGGTTTCACCCGAAAACTATTCAACTGATCATCTTGAAATTTTGTACACATGTTCATAATCATAATTTATTAGCCCAAGTATGTATAAAATACATTTAAGGTTGTCATAACAGAGGTATAAGTATATGTATAGAACGTAGATTCAGTGTAAAACATAGAAAAAGTAAACGACATATAGTTTAGTGACAAACAGTACATGACATTTACAGTATCTGAGAAACTTTCAACAAAATTATTAACAATTTCAGTGGATTATGGTTGTATTTCATCAAAAGAGAAGTCAAAAAATTCGTCGAGATTGTAGAAAGCATTATACAGTAAAATTTCCATAACTGCAGCTTTAAATCTTTTTATCGGAGCATTTTTTAGTCCATTTGGTAATTTATTGAAAAGTTTCAGAGCAGTATAATTTGTTGGCTGCTGAGTTCTTTTCATTCTATGGTAGGGAATACTCAATAAATTTTTATTTCTGGTGTTGTAGTAGTGATATGATGAATTTAGAGATAGTGAATTCTCATTTTCTTTAATGTACATCACGCATTGTAATATAAAAACTGATGGTAGAGTTAATATATTTAATTTTTTAAATAATGGTCTGCAGTGGTCCTTGAAACCAGCTTGAGCTATTATTCGTATGACTTTTTTCTGCAATTTGAATATTCTCTCACTATCTGAAGAGTTACCCCAAATTAAAAGGCCGTAAGAAAAGACCGAATAGAAGTTACTGTAGTAGTATGTTAGTGTCGTGTCAAAAGTGGTGAATTCTGTAAGTTTTCTGATTTGATAAACTACTTTATTCAATTTTGCTGCTNTAATGATGTTCCAAACGTTAGTACGGTCGCACTGTATTACTCACAGCATTGCACCGGTGCGGATTGCTAGTAATAAATAAAATATGAAAAGAAATCACAAAGAAGTCATGTTCCATTTGCTACCCTAATGAAACTAATTATAGGTACGACACTGGCCGGCAAGGAGCTTATCGTAATCCAATAGGAATTTAGTTGAATCTATACCTGCGCGATCGCTCGCCATCACATTTGGCGCTTGCTATAATTTTGAGAGAAGTTGTTATAGAATGTACCTTTCTTTTCCAAATACCACCTATACTTGGATTCCCAAGTTATACCTCTAAAGCTCGTCTTTTGAATCTGCTTTCATTGATTTTGCCGGCGTTCTGCTCCAATAAAATACATTCCATCATCACTAATAAAATCTTCAGGTTATCCTCTTCTACTAACAAATCTCAACACCAGAATAGTCGGATTGCTGTCAAGAGATGGCATAGAATTCACTGTTAAATTTTGGGGGAACTTTCATGAGAAATTTTATCGCAAATTTCTACCCGACATCATTGACGTATTGGAAATTGAAACTGAACTTTGTTAGATATAGAGACCTAGTTCAAGAGTTAGGAATCAGTTTTCTTTCAAATTCTGAAGACGCCAACTTGGTTGGTGAAACGTGTATCGAGAAGAATATTGAAGTGATTGAGGGTGTTTGTTTTTTGATAAATATACAAAGCGACGATTACATAATGAATGATGACTGAGTGAAGGTTGGGGTTGAGGTTGAGCTATAAGTCTGTCACTTATACTGCTCCCTTCCACTACAGCGCAACTCACAGGTCAGGCTAGACCTGAGGTACTCTACCGTGATTGATGAAATGAGCTACCAGAGTATTTGAGAGCAAACTATGAATTTATTGTTACACTATTTTGGATGTTATTATTCCATTGATGTTACTTTTCTATTTGACTCATTATATTACCTATTTTAGACTGAACATATTTTCGTTTTTTGTGTTTTGTACTTATATATTTCAACAAAACGAATAAAATATTATAACTACATTATAATTAATCAAATGATAGGCAAATGTCACCAAAAATTTTTAATAACGATATTAAATTCCATCAGAAATTGAATTGAAAACACTATATGAAATCAGCCTTAAAAATACTTGTACCATTTCTAAAAACATAAGTAATATGTTGTGGTTCTTGAAAACAACACCAGTCCTGTCAAAGGAATTTCCTAAACATTAACCAGAGATTCAAGTTATATAGAAAATATTTCAGTCCACTATTAAAAAATTTCATAGAAAACGAATTTTCAAGTGAAGCAGCAACATTACAAAGTAATTGTAACAAAAAATCTTTTCTAGAACCACAGTAGAAATAATACAAAATATGAAAATCTAATCTAAATTATCATCGTCAGATGGTTTAGGCTGGGGTGGAGCATTTCCGCCCATTCCGGCACCGGGAAAACCCCCTGGGAATCCTGAAAATCCCGGAAATCCTGCGCCAGGAGCAGCTCCGGCACCTCCGAAACTTGGAAAGTTCATCCCAGATCCAGAAAATTTTCCAGACAGTTTCGCAACCAAATCCATCACTTTTGGATTTGACTGATACTTGACAAAGTTGGCAGGATTCATTGAAATATCTTGAAAAGCTGCAGACACTTCTGGATCCTTAAAATGTTTCAAATAATTGATTAAGATTTACCTTTGTTCATCATAATCAGTTATTAGTATTACTGTACTATTATTATTCATTTTAAATACATGACAGAAAAAAGT